TAGCTCAATTAAAGGCTCCCCATTTACATTTACCCCTAGCACCCCAAATTTACCCACTACTCCCTCCATAACATTTTTACCCACTTTAGCATTGAAATCCCCAACCACCATTACTCTCACACTTGGTTCAAAACTCCCCACGCATTCACTCAACATTTCCCAAATCTCTCTCTCTCCTCTACACTTCTCTTTTCTCCAGGTGCATTTCACGCTTATTATAACCCACTTTTCACATCCAGTCTTTATTTTACTCCATATAATCCTTTAATTAATACATTTATAGTCCCTCTTTTCCTGCCATAGCTTATCCTTCAACATTATTGCTACTCCTTCTTTAGCTCTAACTCTATTTGAAACCCCTGACCTAATCCCATTTATTCCTCTCCACTGAAACTCTCCCACCCCAGTCAGCTTTGTTTCACTTAAAGCCAGGACATCCAGCTTCTTCTCATTCATAACATCCACAATCATCTCTTTCTTATCATCTGCACAACATCCACGCACATTCAGACTTATCACTTTGACAATTTTCTCCTTCTTATTCTTTTTAGTAATCTTTACAGGAAAAGTGGTTACTAGCCCATTGTTCCCGGCATCGGCATTTTAGTTGACTTTTACAACACGCATGGCTTACGGAGGAAAGATTCTTATTCCACTTCCCCATGGATATAAAAGGAAAAGTAATAAGACCAAGAACTATTAAGATAAAATCAAAGAAAACTCAGATGAGTGTGTATAAATAAATGAGTACATGTATGTTTAGTGTGACCTAAGTGTAAGTAGAAGTAGCAAGACATACCTGTAATCTTGCATATTTATGAGACAGACAAAAGACATCAGCAATCCTACCATCATGTAAAACAATCACAGGCTTTCGTTTTACACTCACTTGGCAGGACGGTAGTACCTCCCTGGGTGGTTGCTGTCTACCAACCTACTACCTATATAATATATAATAACGTATGTTATTTAATAACATGTATGTTATTAAATACCAGACTCCACCACTGCCTCCTCCAATGCCTCCACCAATGCCTCCACCAATGCCTCCACCACTGCCTCCACCACTGCGAGTCCCTACTAACCCCTCCCTCCGACCCCCCCAACGGGCACCCCACCCTCCCACCCTCAGGTGGTGAGGGGTTTTTTGTTTGTTCATTATTTGCAAATTAAACAACAGAAAAAATAAGTAAACCTTTCTTTGATGCATTTTGGGAAAATGGCTGTTGGGAAAGGTATTAGACGTGACATAAATGTTTTTTTTTGGAAAAATTTTTTTGATTTTCCCGAAGCAAAGGCCAAATAGGTTTTTTAAATTGTCGATAGAGGAAAAAAATTATTTGACAATAGGATAGAACCAAGTTTTTCCCCTTTTGGCATGCGCGATTGCGGGGGTAAAAGGTCGAACTGGGGGACAGGGAGGGGGGAGGTTTTTGAATGTAGTGAGGAGGCTGGGAAAGCAAAGGGCCAGAAATTGGGGTTCATGGCGGCCGAGGGTTAATATAGGGCCTCCTTTCATAATAGGAAGTGTCGTAACTGTTCCGGGGGGAGTTTAGGGAAATGATTCATGGGACCACCCCAAAAAAGGTGGTAAAATTTGTGAAAAATGGTTCGACCGGTGTGCGGTGCGGGGGCCATGGTGTGTGTCCCGGGGGAATACCCTTTAGTTAATCCTCACTCATCGGCCTCAGATCTTAATGGAGTGACCTCTAATGTGTATAATAATTATGAGACGTTAAATCGTCTTGTGAATGGTAATGTAATCAGTGATAATAACATTAAGTTAAGAGAATGCAGGGTTGTGAAATAGATCGCCCTGCTCCGAGTGAACGCGTGATTCTCGTATCGAGGATACTGAAGTTCATTGAGTCACGACTTCTAAACCGGGACAAACCAACGGATACCTCGTCCTGCTGGAATAAGAACCGTGTCGGTGTAGCAGGACATCGAAATGAGATGGTGAATGGAGGAAATAAGGGTATCAATCACCCACAGTTAAGTAACCTTTCTAGTTATAACAGACTGATACTGGCCAGTTAGGTATGTTGTAATTGGATAGGTTATGGGTGATCCAGCTAGATCAAGTGATCACCAGAGAATACAGTATCTGGTAAGTGGAGAGATTATGTACAAGTGTTTTCCTTGATGGATATATCCATGTGTGACCTACCCCCCCCCCCCTTCATTCAGTTACACTAATATCATTTATACAGTCCACAATTAATTAGTAGCACCGTACTTGTGGGTGCTATCCAATCCATACTGGTCTCGGATAGATATGGATAAGATTGTGAGGTCGAAGGAACCACTTGCCGTGAAAAGGGGTGGTTAAGTTTTCTCACATGTCTACACGGGGTGACTACGGTAAACAATATGGTTGTCTCCCATTGAGTTTACTTGTAAGCATGTAATGTTGAGGTACATAAAGGTAAGCACCCCTAGAAAATTTTCCATATGTTTACTCTTGAACACTGCAAAGAATCAAACATTTCTGCTATTGCTAATAATAACAATAGTAATAATAATAATAATAATAATAATAATAATAATAATAATAAATACGATATAATTGAAGAAGGAAATTGTACAAAAATACGAGGGAGTGGTTGACACATCGTCAGTGTGACTTTGTTTATGCTGGAGTGAACATTAGTCTCCCTGCTCTTCCAAACATTTCACAATAATTCAGCGGTTGAGGCAGTGGTATTTAAATACATATATGTTATAAATAATAATAGTACATGTTATTATTAATAACATGTATTATTATTAACATGTATGTATTTAATAACATATATGTTATAAATAATAATAGTACATATTATTAATAACGTGTATTATTATTAACATGTATGTTATTAAATACCATTGCCTCTACCACTCCAATCTACAAGCACCAAACACAATGAATTATTGTGAAATGTTTGGAAGAGCAAGGAGACTAATGTTCACTCCAGCATAAACAAAGTCACACTGACGATGTGTCAACCACTCCCTCATATGTTTGTACAATTTCCTTCTTCAATTATATCATATTTATTATTATTATTATTATTATTATTACTATTGTTATTATTAGCTCTAGCAGAAATGTTTAATTCTTTGCAGTGCTCAAGAGTAAACACATGATGTCACCGTCTAATACCTGTCCGAATAGCCATTCCAATATGCAGTCATGAATGGGTTTACATTATTTATACTGTAGTTTAATAGCAAATAATGAACAAACAAAACACTCACCACACTGAGTGGTGGGAGGGCTGGCTGCCAGTTGCGGGGGTCGGAGAGAGGGTAGTAGGGACTCGCAGGTGGCGGGATAAGATAAGATAGATTTCGTTCGGATTTTTAACCCGGAGGTTAGCCACCCGGATAAAAAGAAAGTCATGTGGGCATCGAGGTGTCTAATTATTTCATTGGGGTCCAAATCTTGTCCCCAGGATGCGACCACACAGTCGACTAACACCCATGGTAATTTGCTGTAGGTGAACGGACAACAGGTGTAAGGAACGTGTGAATGTTTCCACCGCGGAATCGAACCGGGCCCTCGTGTGTGGGAAGCGGGAGCTTTTTGCCACCAGGCCACGGGCTTGGCGGCTGGGAATTTGGTGGCTGGGAATTTGGCGGTTGGGAATTCGCGAATGTGTGAAGCCCGTGAAAGTTGAAAACGTGAATGTTGAGGGAGACCTGTATAGGAAAGAGTAAGGTGATGATAAAAAAATTAGGTAACGGAATATTGGAGGGAGAGAGTATGGAGGAGGTGAATGTGTTCAGATATTTGGGAGTGGTCGTGTCAGCAGATTGGTCTATGAAGGATGAGGCGAGCCATAGAATTGACGAGGGGAAATAGGCGAGTGGTGCACTGAGGAGTCTGTGGAGACAAAGAATTTTATCCATGAAAGCAAAGAGGGGAATGTATGAGAGTATAGTTATACCAATGCTCGTATGGGTGTGAGGCATGGGTTGTGAATGTTGCAACAAGGAGAAGACTGGAGGCAGTGGAGATATCATGTCTGAGGGCAATGTGTGGTGTGAATATAATGCAGAGAATCCATAGTTTGGAGATTAAGAGGAGGTGTGGGATTACCAAAACTTATCCAGAGGGCTGAGGAGGGGTTGTTGAGATGCTTTGGACATGTAGAGGGGATGGAACGAAATAGAATAACTTTGAGAGTGTATAAATCTGTAGTGGAGGGAAGGTGGCATAGGGGATCAGCCTAGGAAAGGTTGGAGGGAGGGGGTAAAGGAGGTTTTGTGTGCTAGGGGCTTGGACTTCCAGCAAGCATGCCTGAGCGTGTTAGATAGGAATGAATGGAGACAAATGGTTATTAGTACAGTGGACCCCCGACTTACGATATTAATTCATTCCAGAAGTCTGTTCGGGTGCCGTTAATGAATGAATTTGTTCCCATAAGGAATATTGTAAATTAGATTAGTCCGTGTCAGACCCCCAAAAATACACGTACAAAAGCACTTACAAAAATACACTTACATAATTGTTCGAGTTGGGAGCTGATCGTATGGCAGGGGTCCACTGTACTTGACGTGCTGTTGGAATGTAAGCAAAGTAACATTTATGAAGGGATTCAGGGAAACTGGCAGGTTGGACTTGATTCCTGGAGATGGGAAGTACAGTGCTGGCACTCTGCGGAGGGGGTGTTAATGTTGCAGTTTTATAACTGTAGTGTAAGCACGCCTCTGGCAAGACAGTGATGGAGTAAATGATGAAAGCTTTTCTTTTTCAGGCCACCTGGTTTGGTGGGAAATGGCCAATGTGTTGATAAAAAAAATAATAAAAAAAAGTTATCTATACACTGGTTCTTAAGAATTTATAGATGTTAGAACTGATCAGTCTTCAGCTTCATTATTTAAATGTGGTTTGCATTGTGTTTCATATAAAAACTCTTGACTAATGTAGTACTGACATATAATTATTTTAAAGCTATAATATATCTATATCATTTTATCTTTTAATACATAAAAATAATCCTTGCGTGTTTCAGCATTGGAGGAAAAATTAACACAGAAATCTTCACTGAGAAAATTCACCAAAACCTCAGAATGTAGTTTAAACCTTGACTCAGATGATATGACTTCAGACTGTGAAATTATAGCAATTGATGGTACGACAAGATCTACTGGTGTCCAAAAGAAGCCTGCAGTGAAGAACATTAAATTAGCCTGTAAAGATTTTTCTGATATTGGAAAACAATTGGAAGAAAGCCCTATGATTAATTGTACTACCCAGGATGCTATGCTACTCAACTTGGCAATGGACTCAGTAGAGGGCCAAATAGAAAGTGAGAGAATTCAGCAAAAATCAAATGTAACAGTGAAGAAGAAAAGGAGCCTGTTTAAATTCAAGAAACAAAATCCTCAGAAGATGAAGTTATACCATGTTCTTTAAACACTCAAGAAAGATCTGAATGTCTGAGTGTTAATGTAACACCAAAATGTGAAAAAAAAAGCTTTAAAAATTCATTTGTGTCATCGAAGTCAAGAAAATTAGGTGACTGCTCTGGAAGCTGTACACTGTTGAAGACAAAGAGGTTCATAGAGAAGTTACTGATATACAGCATAAGAAGACTAAAGCTATTAAGAAAACCTCAGCCATTAAGGAAAATTTACAAGCTACTGAGAGTAGAAATATACAACCTACACTAGAGCCATTATCAGAACCTGAGAAAAATGAAACTCCTCACAAGTGCAAAAAAGCTGCTAATAAAACACCTGTCTCATTGCAAATTTTGCCTGAAGCAAAAGTCACAAAAGTGTACCCGTTGCGCAACCGCATTAAGTCCCAGAATTTAAATACAGTTTCTCAGCAATCTCCAAAACATAGAAATATTTTTCAAAAAAACATCAAAGCCTCTCCCAAAACTAGTGTGAGGAAGAAAAGAAGAACCCTATGTAAAAACAGTGTTTCACCAAGTGCTGAGCATCTGCCATTGAAAGCACTATCTCCTCTTGAATTTGCTTATCCTGCATCTGGCTCTACCACTGCAGTTTCTACAACTTCAAGAATAGACAAACTAACTACTTCACCTTCAAAAGGAAAACCTCATTCTGATGCCTCAAAGTACATTTCTGAACTTAATATCTCCAGTATAAAAAGTCCAAAGCTCACCTCTTTACAAGTTAATGCACCTCAGTTTACGTCTCGGAAAGCTGAAGATCTTAAGCTTGATCGTGAGATAACTGCAGTTACTCCCGAAACTGAATCTTCAAAAACAAGTATCACATCAAAGAATGATACTTCATGCTTTGCCACTCCAAAGGCTAGTCTTGCACAGCCTGCCACTCCAAGAGCAAGCCTTATGCAGCCTGCCACTCCAAGGGCAAGCCTTGCAAAGCCTGCCACTCCAAGGGCTCTTCTTGCACAGCCTGCCACTCCAAGGGCTAGCCCTGTGCAACCTGCTACTCCCCAAGATAAAACTGTTGAATCTACCACAAGGGTTAGCATGGTGCAACCTCCTACTCAAAAGAATTACATGATTAATTCTACTACCCCAAGGGTTAGCTACCTCCTGCAGCAGCCTGACACTCCAGGGGCTAATCTTATGCAGCCTCCTTTTCCAGAGACTAGCCTTTTGCAGCCTGCCACTCCAAGGGATAGTCTTGTACAGCTTACCGCTCCAAAGGATAGCCCTCTGCAGCCTGCCACTCCTAGAGATAAAACTGTTCAGCCTACTACTACAAGGGCTAACATGAAGCAGCCTACTACTACAAGGAATTATGTGGTTCAGACTACTACACCATTGGTTAACGTCGTACCTCCCACTACTCCAAAGGCTAGCCCCATGCAGTCCACTACACCAAGGGCTAGCACTCTGCCTCCAGCTACTCCAACTGTTAGCACTATGCAGCCTATTATTCCAAGGACTAGCACTATACAGTCTACTACTCCAAAGAATAATAGTACAAAGCCTGTTATTTCACATAGCAGTACCCAACCTTCTAACCACCTCTCCACTCCAACAGCAAAATATTTTCACTCTTCAACTTTTAAAGCTGGTGATATCCAATTTTACACCCCAGTGCAGTACCCTCTGCAGTTTGCCACTCAAAAGACTGCAACTTCAGCTCCTGTATCTCCAGTGACTAAAATTTTGATTCCTGTCACTCATAATGCTGACTCTGTGCTATCTTTCTCTCAGAAAGCTGAACAAATTCTCCCAACTACTCCAAAGAGAATTTGTAATCACCCAGCAACAGATGCTCAGCAGCTTTTATCTCCAGTGGGTGAATCATTGCATTCTGAAACACTAAAGGCTGTTGATGTGCATCTTTTGTCCTCAAGAGTTAACACCCTACCATATACATCTCCAAAGATGTATTTAGAAAGTGATACAGGGCAGCATGATATAAGGAAGCCCAATTTTCCTAACCCTGATAGCACAGGATGTGATATTAAAAGGCCTGATACTCCATGGCCAGACACCAAAGGGTCTGATACCCCAAGGCCTGACACTGTTTGGCATGGTACTCATTGGCCAAAAATCCTTGATCTTGATGCTTCATTGTCAAGTAATAGTAAAAAGGATTACTTGATACCTAAAACATTTGCTCCAACCATTTATAAGGATCTTTCATCTCTGCCTGCTGTCCCATTTATACCACTTTCACCAAAAGTTACTCCATCCAGGGCTAACTCGCCATGTTATGACAGTCATTCAAAATCATTTGTTCCTACCCCACCAGACTCAATAAATGTTAGTATGCAAGGTTTTTCTCAGTGTATTACTGAAGGTTCACAGCCGAGAAATAATGATCATAACCAGTCAGTTCAAATTTCTTCAGATTTCTATGTTCCAGTAAATTATGAACAACTGGGAAAAGAAATTAGGTATCACATATTAAGCAGCAGAATTGCATTATCAGATGAAATTATTCTTTTAAGCACTTTAAATCAAGAAAATCTTTCAGAGTTAGTTGAATTAGATATTTCAAAGAATGAGAGTGCTGGAATGCTGCCTGTTGTTAAGCTTAATGCTGCACATTTATCTGGTGTTGATGGAAAAAAAAAGAGTCCAAGCAAGGCTTTGATGTCTACATTAATGATTTTAGCAGATTATCCTGTTAAGTCTTCAAGCTTAAAAACTCCTACTAATGAACCAAACAATTCTGATGCCAAAATCTCGGGTAAAGAACCTGCAAAGACTAAGGTAAAAACTCAAAAAGAGGAGAAGCGATCAAAATCCTATCCACCATTGCAAAATAGAAGCAGGAGTCTTACGCCAACTTTAAGTAATTCATATGATATGGGGGTAAGGCATTGGAAGAGTAAGAAAAAGCTTTTTGATACCAGTGCTGTGACAATGTTGGAAGCTAGTCCCCCAGATGATACTGTATATGATCATTACACTTTTGCAGACGATGATTTTTCTGATTCTCCTCCAAAATCCTCGGTTCAAACCATAAGGGATGTCACTGATTCCAATAAGAAAAATGAAACCTTGGATAAAAGTAGTCAGAATGCTGAAAGAAGTAACTTATCTGGTTCTAAGGTAAGTTCAAGGAAGTATTTTACCAAGCCTAGGAAATCCTCAGCTTCCTTTAACTTCAATAAAAATGATAAAAGATCTTCAAAAAAAAATAAGAGTACTAAAGGAACCAGAAGCAAAATCAGTTTAGGATCTCAAAATCTGAATAAAATGGATACTTCATTGAAGTCGTCTGTGTGTGGTTTCTTTGAATATCCTGAGACTGAGGAAGTAAAACAATGTACTCATAGTATATACTCAGATTTAGATAGTTCTGGGAAAGAAACTCAATTCAGTTGGCTATACAGCAAAAAATCTAGAAAGTTTGAAGGCTCTACATACTCTAACAGAACAAAATCTCACTTAGAGTCACACAATCAAGAAGAAGGCAGTGATGATTGGCAGCCATTTAAGAAGAAAAGAAAAAGAAAAGTAAGCAAGGAGCCTGTTAATACAAGGAGGGAGGCAAATATTAAGAACCAAACAAAACGGGAACCAAGATCCAGAAAATGTAGAAAAACTCTATCTTATGTCGAGAGAAGCACTGATACTGATCATGATGCATTAAACATAGGTGAACCAAATAATGAGCAGCCAATCAGTGAAGAAGATTCTTTTATACAGAATAAATCTCCAGATATTCTACGCCACACTAGTAAGAGCTCAGTCGAGTCAAACCCTCCCAGCATTAGGGAATTCAGCCTCATTCCATCTAAAAGAAAAAATATGGAAGATAAGTATGTGAGGGCAAGAGCTGACATTGATGAAAGTTTTGGATTTTCCTCCCCAGAAGTAAAAGAGCCATGTACAAGGCTAATCAGGAATTCAGTTGAAGATATGGAAATAAAGACTATGGTTAAAAACATTCTTCCTGAACAGAAGAAAATTTCCAGCAAGCTGAGACCTGTTGAAAAAGTTGATATAGCATACAATACCCATGTTGTACCTGGCCCTCCAAATAACACTCCAGAATCGGTGAAAGATTTCTCAACAGAGGCATTTGATGCTGGAGAGATCAGTGAAATTTTAAAAGATAAACAGCATAATCAAAACATCCCATCTGGACCCCTTCAGAGTACCATGATAGATGAAGTATATCAAGATACAGTATCTACTGGAAGATTTAGTTATGTATCAGAAGCACACACATCCTATGTTGATAATCATGTAGGTAGCAATTACCAGAACACCAGTGGTATAGAGTCACAAAATTTTAGCATAAATGACCCTAAGGAAAAGTTCAGTTCACCAATCCTTAAAACTGGCATCAGCTCTCGACTTAATTTTGATGACTCAGCAGGGGAAGACGATATTCAAGAGCCATTTGACATGATGCCAAAGCATTCTTGTATGTCATTACATGATGAAAAATCAAGTTCAGAGGAGGGCATATTACAGAATAAAAATAAAGAATATGAAGATAATGCATGCCTTTCAAAATCATTATTAAATGAAAATCCAGTGACATCATCAGCTACTGCAGAACCTCTGATACCTGAAGTGATGTATGCCTCTCAGGATATGTTTTCCCAAGATAAATTGATTAGTCCACCTATGCCATCACTTCAGAACTATAGCAAACAGTCCCAGGATGGTGATACCACCTCAACCCAAACTTCTACTGTCTTAAACAGCCTTCTAAACAAGTTGACTAATAGGATGTTTAGTGAAACACCATGCAGAACAAATAAAGTAAGTGTTTGCAGTTTACCATCTTAAGTTGGGTAGTTGTCTAGTTGGTTGTGATTGCTCATGGTTGTACTGTTGTATGTTACAATATAATACAATTTTTATTTATGTGGTACAAATTATGTAGTTTACATGTAATAAAATATTAGTACTGTTGTTCATTTAGACATATCTCTTTTTGTACATTTAAGAAATCCTACTAAATAATCTGTCTAGTTCTTAAGTACATGCTCTATAAGAATTAATATTAGTTTGCCCAAAATGTGTTGCATACTAGTGACTTTCTTTTAGTGGCGGGCACAGCTAATCGAAAAGTTAGCTTCATTAACCACTAGTCCGCTAACTAAAAAATTAGCTCCGCTAATGCTAAACCGCTAAATGGTCGAAAAAATTAGCAGAAGCTAACGCTAACCGCTAACTTTTTAACATGAATTCAGATTCGGTTTAGTTTTTGGTCTTTTACTTTTAAGACTTATACTCTAGTATAAGTACCAGTGTTGTAAAGTAATGAAGTAAAACTACTTGAATACTGTACTTAAGTAACTTTTTGGTATTTACTTTTTAAAAAGTACTGAAATTGCTCACTACTTTAACTTTTAGTTAAGTACTGAAGTCTGTTATTACTTGTACTTCACTACAATCTGATAATGATACATTACTCGTTACATCATCAGTAATTTTTGAAAAGTAAACATTGAGATAATTTACTTAAGTACAATACTCAGGTAGTTTTACTTCATTACTTTACAACACTGGGAAAGGTACTGTACTTCTAAACTGTCATAATTTGCAATACCCACGAAAATTAAGAAAATATCCTCACCAACAGAACACAGAGAGTAGTCGTCAACAGAGTAAAGTCCGAGGCAGCTACGGTGAAAAGCTCTGTTCCACAAGGCACAGTACTAGCTCCCATTTTGTTCCTCATCCTCATATCCGACATAGACAAGGATGTCAGCCACAGCACCGTGTCTTCCTTTGCAGACGACACCCGAATCTGCATGACAGTGTCTTCCATTGCAGACACTGCAAGGCTCCAGGCGGACATAAACCAAATCTTTCAGTGGGCTGCAGAAAACAATATGAAGTTCAACGATGAGAAATTTCAATTACTCAGATATGGTAAACATGAGGAAATTAAATCTTCATCAGAGTACAAAACAAATTCTGGCCACAAATAGAGCGAAACACCAACGTCAAAGACCTGGGAGTGATTATGTCAGAGGATCTCACCTTCAAGGACCATAACATTGTATCAATCGCATGTGCTAGAAAAATGACAGGATGGATAATGAGAACCTTCAAAACTAGGGAGGGCCAAGCCCATGATGACACTCTTCAGGTCACTTGTTCTATCTAGGCTGGAATATTGCTGCACTCTAACAGCACTTTCAAGGCAGGTGAAATTGCCGACCTAGAAAATGTACAGAGAACTTTCACGGCGCGCATAACGGAGATAAAACACCTCAATTACTGGGAGCGCTTGAGGTTTTCTAAACCTGTATTCCCTGGAACGCAGGAGGGAGAGATACATGATTATATACACCTGGAAAATCCTAGAGGGACTTAGCCGAACTTGCACACGAAAATCACTCACTACGAAAGCAAAAGACTTGGCAGACGATGCACCATCCCCCCAATGAAAAGCAGGGGTGTCACTAGCACGTTAAGAGACCATACAATAAGTGTCAGGGGCCCGAGACTGTTCAACTGCCTCCCAGCACACATAAGGGGGATTACCAACAGACCCCTGGCAGTCTTCAAGCTGGCACTGGACAAGCACCTAAAGTCAGTTCCTGATCAGCCGGGCTGTGGCTCGTACGTTGGTTTGCGTGCAGCCAGCAGCAACAGCCTGGTTGATCAGGCGCTGATCCACCAGGAGGCCTGGTCACAGACCGGGCCGCGGGGGCGTTGACCCCCGAAACTCTCTCCAGGTAAACTCCAGGTAAACTAGTATAATAAGCTCTTTTAACTCATAAATACCTTATAAGATACTCCTCTAGCTGTTTATGACTGACCAAAATCCACCTGCCCAGGGCGCGGCAGGACATTGACATCTTGCTGGGGTTCAGCGTCTTGATTAGGCTGACAAGGTGGGGGATTCCAGTACATGCAGCAGTAGCATGTTGCAGATGAATAGGTCCACAATCTTTGTGTCCACCACAGACTGATGAACGCTAGTACCAGCAGCAACAAATGCTTCGCCAATGGTGGTCTGGCATGCTCTCTTTACAGGCGGCTGTGATGACTGGCTGCTGCTCCTGCTAGTGACACTGCCACAAGAAGATTGCCCATGTTTTCCATGGGAAGATCAGGCCTTGATTCTCTCCTCAAACTTGACGGCATACACTGGGTGTTTTCTTTTAACATACAACTTCAAGTTGTAGAGGGTCACCGCCTGTCCCTTGATGATGGTCTCCTTGGGCTGGCACATGATGCACAGGAAGTACAAAATATTGGCATTCTTTGTATTCCTTGACTTGAGAACAAAATAGTCATAAAGGAGGTGGGGACACAGGTTCTGCGTTCCTGGCTCTCAGCCTGAGCAACCTCTGGTTCAACCACAGCCACTGCAGACTCCTCAACAACACCCTCAGGCATAGTGATCGCCGACACTGTAAGACTATAACAGTGCTGCTCAGATGCTGCTGCTGCATTGACAAGTCACATTTACACGTAGTCAGCCAATAGAGTGCCTGACTGACTGTTGGAGAAATACCCACAACAGACAGGAACAGACATGTGCACCGTTGAAAAGTCATTGCTTTCCAACTACCAACAATGTATGAATTTTTTTTAGCGGACTCAAAGTTAGCGGAACTTTATTTAGCGGAAGCTAATTGGTCCACTAATGGTTTCCGAAGTTAGCAGAAACACTTATCCACTAAACAAGAAGTTAGTTTCGCTAATTTACAGATTTGCGGAACTGTGCCCACCACTGCTTTCCTTTGTGCCTCACAATATTTTATTATGTGTAAAATACGTTGACTGTGTACTGCATAAAAGAAATAAAAATTTGTATTTTGTAAGCAAAAAAGAAAGCCACTAATTATACAATGAATTTTAGGTAAACTAATCCTAATGCTTCAATGTTACTTAAGATCTTGACAGAGACTGTTAAGAAAGATTTCTTATGCAGTTAACTTCAATCGTAAGTACAATAAACAAAGGTAGCTAATAAACAAACAGTCAATTACAAAGTATTACCTACTATTTCAAACTGATTCAGTGATCATCAGTTTTGTGGAGTGATGCATGTTACTTACAGTAGAAATACAATGTTACAAGATGTGTTATGTAGGTAGGTAAATACCTTTTCTCCAAGTCATTTCTTTAGCTTCATTGTCTTTTTTTTTTTTTTTTTTTAATTAAAATTGCAACTATTCTCTCTTCCTTATTTATTTTTGTTAATCTGTCTTCTTATCTTTTTTTTTTTTTTTTTGTGCTTGCTTCCTCTCCTACTCCTACCTCCACTCCTACTCTTGCCTCCTCTCTTCTTTCACTCCTGTCACAATCTTGTCGATTCTTCACCTTCATTTCCTCATCATTGTCCTCCTTTTGCCTTTTCCTTCCTCAACTCTCATATATTTTTGTCCTACTATCTTCCTTCTTTCTTTTCTTGCTTCTGACCTTCCTTCTTTCTCTCCTTCCCTTCTTCCTCTCTCCTCCTCCTTCCTCTTTCCTGCTTCCTTTGCCTTTATTTGATTAACAAATGATTGACTGTTAAAAGTGTTATAAGCAAGATATTTTAACATTCATATTTTTGATGCTTTACCTATCAGAGTTTTTATTCTGCTATTGTTTTCAGATTTATTGAACTTTTTTAATTAAGCATTTATGTAAATAAATGCTTAATTAAAGTTAATAGATACTTTTTTAGTGAGCTTTCAAAGGAAAAGTGATACATAACCATTACTATGGGAACTAGTTAGAGGGAGTAATTATGAACAAAAACTTGACTACCTTCCCCAATCAGCTACTTCTATGGTGTACATTGTATGAGATTTCCAATGAAAAATCTCACTGAGAAATACCTACTAACTTTGGTCCATGACTAAAATTTAATTATATTATTAGATTCTGACACCAAGTCGCCCAGCACCTCGAACGCTCTTTGACACATCTAAGGGAAATCAAGGAAGGTACAAGGAGAGAGCTGAACAGGCAGAAGAAACATCCCAGTCAGATCAGAAGGATTATGCTGATTCTTTGCAGTATTTAAAGACTTCTTTGGAAGGAGTTGCTGATGGACTGTATAGGTGAGAATTATGCTTTAAGTTGCTCATTTTGGAGTGATAACAGATAACAGATGGAGCATGACACACATTACTCCTGTATATTGGATATATATATGGGATATTGGCAGTTTGGAGGGATATGTTGTGTATCTTTATACGTATATGCTTCTAAACTGTTGTATTCTGAGCACCTCTGCAAAAGCAGTGATAATGTGTGAGTGTGGTGAAAGTGTTGAATGATGATGAAAGTATTTTCTTTTTGGGGATTTTCTTTCTTTTTTGGGTCACCCTGCCTCGGTGGGAGACGACCGACTTGTTGAAAAAAAAAATAACTACAAGTTGGTGTTTACCAGCGTGGAATTTAGGGATTAGGTGGCAAAGCTATGAGAGGTACATAGTTATATTTAGGTACAAAGTGCCAGAGAACAAGATATTTTTTAACACATTGTCAGTCAATATTAATCCAAGTATGAGTTAGTATCCATTCACTTGATCTGGATTGATGTCTAGTGTTACCAAAACACTCAACAAAGAGTATTTTGACTAGAATTACATCTAGAAACCTTGTCAGTTATTATATTGTAAAAACCTGTTTTACTGTGATTGCCATGACTTCTTCCGCTTGCAGTTCAGATCGTGTTTCAGTATCAGATATAGAGGTGCAGTATTACTATATTTACTTAGCAGTTGATTTGTGTGTCTGAAAATTTGTGTAATGGAATCAACAGTGTGACTGAGATTCTATCCTTTAGCATATATCCTTCAGTTTGTTTCAAATGCTTATCTATTACAGGTTGTCTGCTGCAATTGGAAAAATAATGAAGATACACAGTCTGGATGCCCTTAACCTAGAAAGCTGAATTTATCATTATATATTTTATATAGAGCTTTACTAGAACAATAACTAAGGGAAGTCATATCAGAAAGTTTATTGTATGGCAGATATTCTTTTTTTATTTCAACTAAAGCATTCCTTATTGCTCAGGAATTAATTTTTGCTGACTAAAAACAGTGGTATAATTCACCGCTGAACTTTTTAGCCATTTGTGTTGTACCTGTTGTAGAAAGTGAAAAAACTGGGAAAATATTTATGTTTTGTTTTAGTTTCTTTATAGACCTTTAGAAAGATTTAGGTTCCAGAATATCTTTAGATGAAATATATATTCATAAACTGGAGACTTTGAAATTTGTTGGTATATATTTGACATTGCTATAATGTAGGAGCAAATTACTGAATACATAATTGCTCTTTATTAACTTATGAATCCAATACTATGTTTTTGACAACCCATCATCTTGAGGAACAGTTGGAATTCCAGCTGTTTATAAACAGTGTTCTCACATAGAATTTTTTTAGCACATTCCCCTGTTTGCATTATTTATGGTTAAGTTAGATTATAATATACTAGCAAGGGCAATAAATACAGTTGCAATGAATGCAAAACAAAAATACGGTGGACCAAGGATCCACCGTATTTTTGTTTCTGTCTTTTTCTTTTTCTTTGTTTTGCAGTTTCATTTAATGACTTTGTATGCTATAATTGGTTTATTTTGAGTGCAAAACAGCTGTCTAACCTAACTGCACCTAACCTAACCAAAGCTAAAAATGAAATTTGTTTTTAGATGAAATGGCTGAAAATTCCTTGTAACAAATCTGACTGTTTATCAACAGTCTAAATTACAACTGTTGCTTAGGAGGATGGTCTGGTTTTTGAATAATTACTTTTAGTCTCATATCCTAAGATACTTTATTATAGACTATTTCATGTATCTTTATTAAACTTCAATTTATATGTGGAAAAAACAGAATTGCTGTTGCTTGTTTTCTTTGTTTTCTACATGTTTGTTTGCCAGAAGCATAAAAGTTTGGCAACTTATTGGTTCATTTAACATTTTATATAATGGAGTTATAAATTGATTTATGTTGTCTGTTATAAAAGGAGCTCTGAGGTGTATTTGTTCAAAAGTACTAATAGTTTATATACATGTATAAAAATAATATAGGTATAATGTATTTTTCAGGTTTCAGAATATAAAATTGTTTAAAATATTTTTATGTAATTCAAGTTTTTTTTATTTAATACACCAATTCATGGTGACTAAAAGAAAACGTTCACTTACCTGTAGTAATTGTTGTCATTCCGGAAGTGTGCTGACATCACAATAAGATTACCCCTCTTGACTGCAACATCCCCACCCCTCCTTCAGAGTGGAGGCATTGCTCTGACCACCTCCAAGACTTAACCCCAGCTGATCAAGTTTCCCTGAATCCATTCATAAAAGTTATCTTGCTCACACTATTACAAACCACTTGTCTCCATACACCCCAAACTGACACACTCACACAAAGCTACTAAATGCTCAAGCTTTAAAACTCAAGCTGCTTGTACCCTTTCCTCCAACTATTCCTGGAATGACCCCTCCCTCAATTATCTTCCACCCCAGATTTATACATTCATCATCAACCTATCCCTGTCTATTCTCTCTATATGTCCAGACCATCTCAACAAACCCCTCCTCCCCACATCACCTATTAATTTTACACCGAATTCTCTGCATTATATTCACACCACACATTGCTTTCAACACGAAATACCGATGTCTATAGCATTGAAAACCCATACTTCACACCCATATAAAAGTTTTGATACCACTATTCTCTGGTACATTCCCTTTTTTTTGCCTCTGTAGGTAAACTTCTTGTCCACAGATACTTCAACATACCACTCCTTTTTTTTCCCTCATCTGCTGACATGTCCACTCCTGAATATCAGAATACATTTACTTCTTCCATACTCACTCCCTCCAGTCTGATATTGAATCTGTCATTCCCTAGACTTTTTTGTTTACTTCATCATATTGCTTTTTGGCTTCGTTCACTTTCAGTTTTCTTCTTTTGCATTCCTTCCCAAATTCATCCACCAAGCTTTGAAATATTTCTTAGTATTCCTTAAAAGAACTGTATCAATATACAACAACTTTATTTTCATAGATACAAATTGAAATTGTGAAGATTTAGTAGAAATAAGAGCTACATTCAACCACACTGCTGATTTATAGGCCATTTCCCACCAAGGTAAGGTGACCTAAAGAATGAAATTCACTTATCCTCTTTTGTACCCTAGCTGTCTTGCAAGAAGTGCATGGACACTGCATTTCCACTTATTTACCAAGCTACAGCATCCCTGCCCATCCTTGAGATCAGGCATTGAACTTTCCACTTACAGAACTTAAGTCTGACAAACCAGTATTTTCTGAATCCTTTCACAGATATAGTATTACTACAACAGCATGTCGAATTCAAAAAACCACACAGCTTAACTAAATTTGTGAGTTAAGTGTTTTTTTGTGAATATACATAACTAAACCGTCTCCCACCAAAGCAGTCACCTTGTCTCAGTGGGTGACGGCTGGCATATTGAAAAAAAAAAAATTTGCCATCCATCCCAGCCTTCAATGCTAGTTCATCTTGTGTAATTGCTTGGGCTGAGCACATCCCTTCCTTTCTGCTGATATCCTTTATACCCTTTCCTCTCTACCCTCTTTCACCTTGACCATGTGGTATTGTAAGACAATATAGGCACTTAGAAATGTGTAATATCCCTCTGCTAATGAGGTAATAGGAGCAGAGGTCCTCCACCTCCCAGCTCTACTTTCCTCACTCCTTGAATGCCCCGGATCTTTCCCCATTTTTCCCCTTGATGGTTGTCCTGAAAACTCAACAGTTTTAGACTTCTCCCTGTTTTTTGAAGCCCTCCTCACCTGTTCTTCAAATCCATGACCAAAGCTGTCCCATATCTTCTCAGTTGCACATTGTTCTTTCCTTCTATGCAAATTAAAACAACGGATGTTCACAGCTTTTCTAAGTGATATTAATTCTCTTATTTTCATAGCCCCCATAAATTCTAATCCAGGTCTGCATAATTCAAAAGCAGTAAAGCTAACAAAGGATTACTCCCCCTTCCCTGATTATCACAGTTGTCAAACTGCTTCAAACAATGAATACTTTTACATTAATCACTTTCTACCGAACCCTATCCTGGTTCTATTTCTGTTTACAAAGCCTTGGGACCCTACATCCTAGACTTCCAATACCATTTTGAAATGCTGTACACCCTCTATAAGTCCTTAGTGCTTTGATTATAACAATTATGTAAGTCCTTAGTAAATAGTCAACCATTTCAGTGTCTCCGACATAGATCTACATTAATGCCAGTGTTAACCTGGAGGTTGTTCCAGGGGTCAATGCCCCTGTGGCCTGGTCCCTGATCAGGCCTCCCAGTGAATTGGCCTGATCAATCACGCTGTTACTGCTGGCTACAGGCAATCCAATGTATGAGCCACAGCCCAGCTGGTCAGGCACTGACTTCAGGTATCTGTCCAGTTCCCTCTTGAAGACAGCCAGGGATCAATTGGTAATTTCCCTTGTGTATGATGAGAGGCTGTTGAACAGTCTTGGTCTCCTCCCCAACTTATTGCAGTTTCCCCTAATGTACTTGTGGTACCCCTGTTTTTCACTGGGGTATGTTTCACCATCTGACTAGACTTTTGCTTATGTAGGGAGGGATTTCTGCGTGCAAATTTGGGACTAGCCCCTCTAGGATTTTCCAGGTGTAGATTATGATGTATCTTTCTTGCCTGCATTCCAGGGAGTGCAGGTCAAGGGACTACAGACATTCCCAGAAATTAAGGTGTTCGACTGAATTAATACATGCAGTGAAGGTTCTCTGTACATTCTCTAGATCTGAAATTTCACCTGCCTTGAATGGGGCAGTATTCCAGCTTAGACAGACCAAGTAACTTAAAGAGGATCACCATTGGCATGGAGTTCTTTGTTTTGAAGGTTCTGTTACCCATCCTATCATTTTCCTCACAAGTGTCTTAGTGCCACTGTTGTGTTCCTTAAAGATGGGATCTCTCTCTCTTAACACTCCCAAGTCCTTCACATCAGTGTTTTACTCTGTTGTGTGGTTAGAGTTTGTAGTATGTATATTAATAATAATAATAATAATACATATCTTTATTTACTACAAGTACATGTACATGGTAGTATACGGGCCTAGCTGACATCAATAACATAATACTATATAGAAAGCCGCTTGTTATGCAGAGCATTACAGGCAAATTAGGTCAGTTTTGTCCCAGGATGCAACCCATACCAGTCGACTAATTCCCAGGTACCTAGTTTATTGATGGATGAACATAGACAATCGGTGTGAAGAAACATGCCCCGTGTTTCTACCCTTGCTGGGAATCGAACCCAGAACTTCTCCATGTGAAGCAAGAGCTTTAACGACCAGGCCATGGGGCACCGTAATTCTCGTATAGATTTTTTTTTTTTTTTATCAAACCGGCCATATCCCACGAGGTAGGGTGACCTAAAAAGAAAAAATGAGTTTCTCTTTTTAAATGTAGTACTGTATACAGGAGAAAGGGTTACTAGTTCCTGGCATTTCAGTTGCCTTTTATGACAAGCATGGCTGTAGAGGAAAAATTATCTTCCACTTCCCCATGGAAATAAGGGGAAATCAACAAGAACAAGAACTAGTAAGAAAATAGAAAACCCACAGGGGTGTGTATGTACTATATGCTTGTACATATATGTATAGTGTGATCTTAGTGTAAGTAGAAGTAGCAAGATGTACCTTAAACCTTCATGTTTATGAGAAAAAAAAGAAACCAGCAGTCCCACCATCATGTAAAACAATTGCAGGTTTCCGTTTCACACTCGCGTGGCAGGACGGTATTACCTCCGTAGGTGGTTGCTGTCTACCAACCTACTACCTAGGTCTGTTATAGGTATTATTTCCTAAGTTTTCCGTGGCAGAGTAACTGAAATTTGTACTCATTGAACATATTGTTTTCCATTGCCTGCCGGAAAACTTGTTTATATCAACTTGCCCCTCAAGGGAAATTCCTTGATGCTGGTGAGAGGCTCTTGATCTAGGGAATTGGATCTGTGCTCCAGTTCCCTGAATTAACCCTGAATGCCTTCCATCCCCCCCCCCCAACAGGCGCTATATTATATAATCCTATGGGTTTAGTACGTACTTCCCCATGATTATAATAATTCTATCCACTTGGAGATTTAACTGTGTCCTCAGTGGATGAGTCTAGCATCGTCCTCAAAATAAGACATCATATTATGGTTTACATCTCTATGTGTGTGATATGAGGATAAGAAACAGGTTGAAGGCGAGTTACATGTTGCTCACGTAAATCTATGTTTTAAGCGCATATCCCTTAAATTTCCTGTGAGCGTTAAGTTTTAGCCAAGATATGAGAGAATGTGTGTGATTAGTGCGCGTACTACGGTATAAAAAAAATCCTGCCCCAAGCAGTTATATTTTATTAATCCGGTACTATGGTAAAACTTATTTTAAGTATGATCATGTGAGAGCGGAAAAGAGATTAGATTTTTTTTTAGATTTTGCCACTGAAGTGGCTAGTTTATTGTGCACCCCATATTCATCCTGTGGACGGTAGCGCGAGATCATATGGATACACAAAAGGCCTAGGAACTAGGCCCCAAAGGGTTAACAGGAATACATATGGATTTATATCTACATATCTATAGTTCAATGGAGAGGAATAAATGGGATTAGGTCAGGGGTTTCAAATAGAGTTAGATCTAAAGGAGTAGTAGCAATAATGTTGAAGGATAAGCTATGGCAGGAAAAGAGGGACTATAAATGTATTAATTCAAGGATTATGTGGAGTAAAATAAAGATTGGATGTGAAAAGTGGGTTATAATAAGCGTGTATGCACCTGGAGAAGAGAGAAGTGTAGAGGAGAGAGAGAGATTTTGGGAAATGTTGAGTGAATGCTTGGGGAGTTTTGAATCAAGTGTGGAGTAATGGTGGTTGGGGATTTCAATGCTAAAGTGGGTAAAAATGTTATGGAGGGAGTAGTAGGTAAATTTGGGGTGGGCCCGGGTAAATGTAAATGGGGAGCCTTTAATTGAGCTATGTGTAGAAAGAGATTTGGTAATAAGTAATACATATTTTATGAAAAAGAGGATAAATAAATATACAAGGTATGATGTAGCACGTAATGAAAGTAGTT